AAAAGTTAAAAATTGAGCGCCAACAAAAGGTCAAACTACGAGAGAAGCAATGCGCCTATTTTCACGATTCGTGTTCTCGGCGCCATTTTGATTCTCTGGGGATTTTTCGCACACAATTTCATATTTGGCGCCGAAGCTAATATTTCAGCCCGGGCTGAAATTCATTATGTAATCGCAACAAAATTTCAGCCCCCCTAGCCGGACTGAAATTTCAGCCCGGGCTGAAATTCGCCATGTAATCAGGCCCTAAATGCGCTGAAGAAATGGATAACCGAAGACTATCGCTAATGTACGCTTAATGATTGCTCAAGCAAAAATTCTGTGATACTTCGGTATGGTTAAGCGTTGGTTACTAAGATACTTTACCTTTCGTGTTCCGAGGTACTCCATTCCTCTTGCTATTTGAAAGGCAAAAGACACGAAATCCCTTACGGTAAGGGAGGGGCCAGAATAACTCTGTCTGCTGTGCTGGTATTCGGAAGGTCTCCTTTCTCTCAAAAATTGCCGAAGATTACCGTGAGGTGCAAACTCGACAATGACAAACAAAGGACCTGAAATACCAGTTTCACGTCTGTAAGTAAAGTTTCCTGACCGTATTCTGCATAAAGCAGCATTATATTTGTACACTAATCAATAAACAAGCGATACTTATATCGTGTCTTATCAGGTTGGAAAAAAAAAATGTTCAAATGTTGTTGTTCATAGTGGGTCAATGGGCTCAGCTACACTTCGTATAATTGGCTATTTACAAGCGCGGTTTGCTAGATACAGTGTATTACTGTAATGCGCGCATATATAGGTCAGGTAGTTCCTGAACAGGCTTTGTCTATGCTTTGTCTGTTTATAGTGTACTTCGAAACAAATAGTCTCATACTGCGGAAATGGAAAGCTGTGTCCCTCACCGTGTTGCGTGCATGCACCAATCAAGTTGATGATGTTCTTGTGCCTTCCAATATCCTTCATCGTGTCCATTTCAGACAAGAGGTCTCCCAACTCGTTCTCAGTAGCATCAGCTGGAAAATATGACAAATTATTGACTATTTAAACCTCTTGCTTTTACCCCCTGTTTTGAAGGGTAGCTGAGAAGTGAAAGTTTTGTCGATCCCCATATCGTTACGGCTTTCATGAAATTGCTTGTTTGGCTATTGTTCCACACCGTTGGTGAGACGTTTAATACATTATTTAGCCAGTTTGTGTGTCACAGAGTCATTTGGTTATCCGATACTCAATGGAGGAGGAAATAGTGAAGACAACTGAACCAAAGTTCGTTTTCTTCTCGAGAGGCGGGCTACATGGTGTAGTATCAACTGGTATTAAAAATGGAAGGATTAGCTTGTCTTTTGATGACAGTAGAACACAGGACATTCAATGCATGTAGAACAACTTTGGAAAATTCTACTTGGGGACAGTTGTAATGTTAACTGGTCAGATTATTTATGATTAAAATACTTATAATACTTACCCTTGAGCATTTTGACAGCAACTGAACATGTTGAAGGCATGTCAGGCAGCCCCACAGCGTCAGCTCGCATGACCAAACCAAATGCACCTTCACCAAGTTGTTCTCTTAGTGTTATTTGAGATCTGTCAATTTCCCATTCCTCGTCACAAGGTAGCTCAAAAAGCTCTAGCTCTGTGATGAATAGAAATTATATTTAGGTAAACATTGTTACTAAATCCTTTTAATCATTTGACACTCATAAAGTTAGTCACGTTATAAGATTAATTCTGATTTGGAAACTTGCAGTTCATAAATTCCTTTAATGCGGCTCAAGGCTTGTTTTACCAAAGGTACCATGTCAGTAACACAGACTGCACGTTCAGCGCAGTTTGGTTTGATGTGACACAGAGTAGCACGTCCGGCTGTTTGGTAGACTAGGGGCACTTGGAGAGTAAGATTTTCTTTCAAGAAGAGAGGTTCATAATCTTTTACCTTCAGCAATGTTCGAGTCAATTCTCGATGATACTCCTGAAGAAAATCGTGACCTATAGCTTCCAGTTCTGTATCTTAATAAAGGTGTCGTAGAATTTGTAGATCCAGTAGAACTTAATCTTCCCCTTGGAAAAGTGAAAGTTCTATTATTTCCATCAGTTTGATTGGGCGTTTCAGGTTCTGATGGTATAAGGTTTGATGATGGTGGAATATTCTCCAGTTCAAATTGTCTAAATTCCTTTTGAGAATTTGAATCGCCTGCAAACTTCTCCTTTAGTCTTTTGCGAAAACAGAAAACAAACACAACTGCTATAATTGCAGAGAAAACAATTGACGCCAGAAGAATGATAGCAATTAGGCCAGCTTGACTTGACTTTATCTTTTCATTCTGGACTAGCTTGTTCTCAATAGGTGAAGCTGTTGCATTCTGTGAAGAGTCGTCTTGTTTAGTTATGGTGTTCCAATCTACTAAGAGCAGAAAAGGAGAACAATTTTTAAATTCCACTCGACATGGGTAGCCATCAATAACAAGGATAAAACGTGTGATTGTAGGGGCAACTTCTTTAACCTTTTATTTTTTTTACCAGGGATGGTCTTGCACATGGGTTTCGACTGACGTATCTAATGAATGGTATACACATGATGCCTCGTGATCACTGTTTACTAAAAACCAAACAATTACTCAACTCTAACATTATTTTCATGTCATGCAAGGAAAACCCTAGACAATGCCTGGTCCGTGTTATTGAAATAACCAATCTGCAAGGGAAATCTAATATGGCAAATCACACTGATAGGGGTAAAAAAAATTTTCCTGCATTCAACACTTCAAAGAAGCTTACATTATTTGTTAAGGGACATTAAAAGGGTTCAGGCATAAGAGATCCACGGAAGTATTGGTGACCTATTCCATTCACTGCAAAGTTGGCAATATACCGGAACTAAAATGTTGATTTCAGCTTATTAACTTGCAGAACAATCTACATAACTACTAACCTTTAACAGGAACCGTGGGTTTCACATATCTACTGAGGAAAGCACTGTTGTAATCTTTGCCTATATGATTGCTTACAAAGCACGTGTAGAGTCCAAAATCATCCTCGGTAACATTAGTTATTCTCAACTCAACGCCGTAATGGTCCTTGACTCGGATAGTCTTGTAATAATGTGGATCTATAAGGCGGTATGATCCGTTCTCAAAGTCGTCACCAATTTTCTTTATTGATAAGACGGATTTGTCCCATTTCAGCCATCTGAAATCTGGAAGTGTTCCACTAACGAGCACAATGCATGTCATCGTTGCATTATCTCCAATCTGCACCGTTGTGTTACTTGGAAGGCTTGTCTGTAAGATGGGCCGTGATCGTGGCTTAGCTGTTGAGAAGATGATGGAAATGTATTTTTAATTTCAAGCAGTTACAGTACCAAAAGTGTCTGTGGTGCATGGTGCGGAAACTCGGCAAATTAAGTCATGTTTTACTTTATAAACAAAATCGCCTTACTTTTCCATTGCATTTTTTTTTTTAGAAATAGACGTGCATGACTACATTTTTGTTTTGCTAAACTCACCAACAACCTGAAGCGTGTAAGTGTGATTTATACTGCCATATGGATTGGACACTATGCAAGTGTATTTCCCCGAGTCGTCGGGTACTAGATCTTTCAGTTTTAGGTACCAAATGGAAGTGTTAAGATATGGGTCCATCCTTCGGCTGGGCATTTTCATTCCGTCCTTTAACCATGTGTATTTGAGAGGTGGCGCTCCAGTCGCTTGACACTTTAGTCTGATTGAGTGTGATGCTGGCCATGCTCTAAATGCTCTTTTTAACATATTTGGATCAGAAAATCTTGGTGCTCCTAAACCATGAACAAAAGATATGCATCACCAATTAAGAACATGAGTGAACATCCAGTAGGCCTTGCATAGAATGAACAGGGGTATTACACTGAGACAGAACCTGCATCTTGGCTGGCAATAACATTACCTAATATTTATCCACATATATATTTGCCATTTAAGGTGATCTAACTAGTCCCCACACTGTAAAGAGCTAGTGACCTGCCCATTCAGATATTTTATAAAGAATTGCGGACACTCACTTGATTTTTTAGTCCTGCCGGAGGTCGTGGCATCTGAAAAAAAGCATCACGTTACTATCTTGTAGCACTTTATGTGGTGTGAACTCTAATATTACAAAACATGGTGAACCTCCCAAGCAATCGATTATTTCAGGCATCAGATCAAAGCTATATTCGAGTTCTCTTACAGCTGCTAGCTTATTCCTACAAAAAAAAAATTGCAGATCTTGAGCTTAGAACTCAACGCCTCCCCAAGAGTCATGGCTTTTTCTTAGAGTGGAGCATTTTACGTTTGAGGATAAAATTCTATGGCGGTGAACAGTACTTTGTCATAGTGATATTTATTGTTCAAAGTTGTTACAAAGTATAAATTTGACGAAGTAACTTTCTGTGTCAACTTTGAGTACAACGTCTTTCAGCTTCAGTCAACGTACCTTTAGTTTGCACCCGGGTGGTTACTACTTGACTCGTTGGTGTTAATTTGGAGGTCGAAAGACTTGGAGAGATTCCTGTTAAAGCAAATGAAATCACTGTTAGCGATGTTGATCACATTATGTTGAGTGGCTGCAGGAAGACGTGCTGAGCATTGAACTTGAGCTTGTCGCCGTTTTAAGTGTGGTACTGATCAAATTTCGTCTAATTTTATTGCGGAGTTACTGTTCATTTCCTTCAAAGAAAAATAGCATACATTAAACAGAAGACATTGACCATCTTCGCTTCTTCAATTGAGGGGTGGTCAAAACGGTTTCCAGTTAGTATAGGGAAATATATATTATTTATTATTATTAAATAGATAGAACGTGCAGGGTCTCTGATTCTATTTCCATTTACACTGTATGGTGTACAACACTTGGGAAATAGTCCAGTGCCAAAGCGAGTAAAATCGAATTTTAGTTTATTGCCAAAACAAAAACTAGAACAACTTGAGGTTTGTCAGAAGATTGCTGCATTCTGAATTTTGTGTTTGTTCCTCACCTTCTACTGTTTTAGTGATCTGTTTGTGGTTCAGTTTTGTTTTCTGTACTTCATCACGCCTACCTTCACGCACTATAAGTTCCAGAGTCAAATTTAGTTTCCCGAGAGTATTTTCAGCGATGCAGGTGTAGTTTCCTTGGTCTCGAGGTCTGACTGTCTTGATCTTTATGGTTTTGTTGTTGTTCAAGTTCTTTACTCTTTCCGACAACTGCAAAGGCTTGTCATCCTTGAACCATGTAATAGTCGGTGGTGGCTGTCCAATCACTCCGCATCGTAACCGTTTGACCGCTCCTGCCTCGGCGTCATACTGAAGGTTTGGAGTACCTTGCCTGCGCGGTGGATATTTGTCTGCAACATGGAAAACAATCACAGCCCTCAAGCAAATTCGTTTTGTTATTGTCTGTTGCTGTGGACATTGTTACTAGTACATATACATGTACTGTCACTGTGAAACTGGACCTTTCTATATCAACGAAAACATAGGGTTTGCAAAGTTGACTCAGTATAGCATTATTCATAAAAGGCTAATGTACAATCTAGGCCGCGGATTTAAAAGAAGACCTGTTAACACCGCTTTAACTGAGAAATATCGAGAATTTTACCTTGAGGGCAGAAATAAGAGCAAGGCAAATGTATGACCTCATATATATATATTCCACGTGCTATTTATGGAAGTGAATTCGCACAGTTTCGACAGCTAGAAGGCGTTTGTAACTCTTAAATGTGTTATACCGCTTTGTGTGAGGATGCCGAATTCAAGTTAGGAGGTACATTAAAGAATACTGTACAGAGGGAAAGCTAATTTTCTTTAAAAAACAAATTTGCTTATTTCGCAGACTACCTTTTTCTACATTTATATTTACCTCTACAATACTTAATGTTTTTAACGTTATATTTGTCTTAAAAAACATTGTTTTTTTGAATTCTTAATGAGCAATGAAATATACTTTATTTCTTTTCTGAGTGTATTGCGCTTTCTTTAAAAATTACAACGCGCGATGTGTAAACAGGAGTAAGTTAGAAAACAAATATTCAGTTTACGGTGGCGATGGAGAATTAATTAAAATTAGAATCCGTGTGTGTTAATATGCTCCACAGCCACACTTATTTGTTGATTGCGCCGGAAATTCCCGTCATTTACTTTCACAGACAACACGCAACTGTACTCTTCAGTCTGCTTATACCCGACACAACCTGCATTTGTTTACTTTGCCTTTGTCGCTTTTTTTCCCCATGTAACAGTCCAGTTCATCCAGACTTTGACTAAATAAACGAGCTAAATGGTGTATCCAACAGACGCAAAATTAAAACAGGTCTTTCTAAATAAAAGAGATTTATCGCTTAAAAAGCTGGTTACCTGATAGGCTAACTCTTGACGCATTACTATAAGTCCAATTCAAGTTGCGACGACAGATCAGAGCTTTCTCGCATTCGCTGAATTTCGATCTCCAAAAAGAAGCAATACATCTAGTAAGACCCGAAGCATGTTCTTTCCTTTCTTGATGTAAATAGCAACTGAATATAGTCGATACACGACTGCGATAAGTCAGCATCGTCCATATTATACAAGTACGGGATTGTATTTCACAGTGTTTTGGAGCTTTGTCCTTTTCAACTCGCTTTGTCAAATGATATGAAAAATATGGCTATTCTAGGACATCGTTTCCTCGACTATTTGCATTGCTCTTTTTAAATCGTAATTGTATTTATCTTCAAAATGTGAATAGTGTAAACATTAAGTACCAAAATGTTTCCTGTCTATTATTTTCAAGGAAGTGATGGCCGTTTCCACTGGGCAATGAACGAGCTGTTGACTGAACACACAACAGACATATTCCTTCAATTTTGGTAGCCAAAGACAAAAGAAAAAAAAAAGATAGATCAAATTCGCCGGGGCACAAAAAGGATTATGGAAAACGTTTTCTCGAGTAGATTTTGATTGACGAAAGGTGTCTCGTTTCGTGTATAAGTGAATTCCTCTTTCCCTTTCATCTGGTATTCTGATGTGAGGGAATTCTGCCAGGAGTTGTTAAAGATATTCATCTCACGTCTTCACGATTCTCTTGTTGGCAGGAAATTTAACATCAAGCTACATCATCACCTTTTTGCTTAAAAACCGCATCGCCTACCATTGACTAACAATTGTGCAAACTGCACTACAATCTGTTTTTCACAAACATCCGCCCTCTGCTCTTAATTTACGTCTAAGAATTTCTCAACTGAAAATAAATCAAAGAATGGCAAATTACTTCAACTCCTTACAGACTAGAGTGAAGTTTTTTTGACAAATGCAGAATGCGTGGTTGTAAACTTTGACTTCGCGGTTTTTAAGAAGTTTTAAGACAGTAATGAGCGGCATCACCAAATGTTAATTTATGTCAAAATCGGGCCGCTTGTCACGGATCTAGGTAGAACTTTTAATAAGTTCTTTTTCCCGGGTTGTAGACAAACTAAAAGTAATTTCATTGACAGTAGTTGAGACCCTACGCCTGTGAGTTTTGGACGTGCATGAAAGGTTGATTAACGCACTGCTGCACCACTGGATTGCGATCGACCAAATTATTGTGGTTGCTTTAGCGTAATAAACGCGCCCTTTCCCCAAGCAAAACACGAAAGGACAGCTGAATCCATCAAAATGTGGGTCAAAGGTAGCTTTCGATGAATATTTGTATTAAAAATAAGGTTCCACAATGTTCCGATATCAGTACGATTTAGAATATTGGCACCCTCTCTCCGATGAAAACAAGGTGCCATGAAACGATCACGAACACGGAATAATCCACTACTAGTTACTAATTCTTCCTTCGACTACCGTTTTGTCTCACTGATGACTATTACCTTTGCTTACAAGCGTGTCTAAAGCAAATTTGCACCTTGCTGTATGAATGATTGATAAACGTGAACGCGCATGAAACAGCTGGACAGACCAGAAATATCACAAGGCACAATGGCGAACACAAAGGAAATGGTAAACAGCAGCTTAGAGTGACTCTAACGTCTTATTTGCTTTCTACTTCGCCGTGCTTAAGAGTTGAACAAACATTTGACGATATATGCCGAGCTATTCAGTAAGATTTCCTTTGTCGCTGCTTGCCAGTAACGAGTTTTTCTTGCATGATTCGAATGAATAGAGCCATTCATCTTGACATATTACCGAAAATTGATTTTTGAAGCGTGACGAGATCTCGTACACGACTCTTAATACTGTCCCATAGAACGAGCGGAAACCGCTTTTGATGTGTGGTGAGCTTGAACAAAGATAAATCAGAGTTAAACAATTTGACGAAAGTTAAACAAGGAATAGTAAGGCTAGGAACGCGTAGTCTCTAGAATGTGAATGTTGCAAAACAACAAGTATGTAGATATCCACTTACCGGGCTGAGCAGTCTGCGTATTGATAACAAGAAGATCTGTTAGATCTTATAACCGCGCTTTAAAAATTTAACGGTTCGCTTAGCACTACCGTCGGTACGCAGTGCACCTTCCAAAGCAGTCATTGATGATTCTTTTCTTACTGTAGACATCACATCACTTGATCAACACAAACTGTATTATTGCACCATCAGTGGTAGCCGTTGACA